CCGTGTCGGGCTCTCTGCTCAGCAGGTAACCTGCTTCCCTTCCTCTCTCTCTGCCTGCCTCTCTGCCTACTTGTGATCTCTGTCAAATAAATAAAATCTTAAAAAAAAAAAAAAAACAAAAACCACAGGTCAAAGAAGAAATCCAAAGGGAAATTTAAATATATTTTGGGCTAAATGAAGATGAAAACGTAGCATATTTCATGGAATACAGCTAAAACAGTACTTAGAGGAAAATTTATAGCTTTTAAGTTTATACTAGGAAAGAAGAAAGGTCTCAAGTGTTAATCTAGGCTTCCACTTTAAGAAACTAGATAAAAGATGTTCTTGATCTTGGGGTGGTGGAATCTGTGGAGTCTGCTTAAGTTTCTCTATCCATTTCCTTCTGCTTCTCCCCCCTCAAATAAACGTGTTTTTTTTTTTTTTTTAAGAAAATATTTATTTATTTGACAGAGAGAGAGACAGAGAGAGGGAACACAGGGGGAGTCAAGTCAGAGAAGCAGACTCCCTGCTGAGCAAGGAGCCCAATGTGGGATTCAGTCTCAGGACCCTGGTATCATGACCTGAGCCAAGCCAAAGGCAGATGCTTAATGACTGAGCCACCCAGGCGTCCCTCAAATAAAGAAGTCTAAAAAAAAAAAAAAAACCCCACAAAAAACCAGATAAGAAACCAAACCCAAAGCAGGATAATCATTTTGGGATTTAAAAAAAAATCTTTATTTTATTAACATGGCATGCTACAGAGATCAACAAACTGACATATGGACAGCTACTTTTGTAAATGAAATTGTTAAATAAAGAATTAAAACTGTCTTTTTACATAAATGATATAATCTCATATTTATAACAAACCAGAAACAAATAGAACTAATTGAGTTTAGCAAGGAGGTCACTCAAAAGAAATTAAAAGGATTGTAAGGGAAAATCATGAACAACTTTCTTTGAACAAATTGGGCAACTTACGTGGAATAGTCAGATTCCTAGACACAAATGCTGAAGGCATGAATTATTAAAACCAGCTCAAGAGGAAATGGAATATATGAATAGACCTATAACAATAAATAATTGAATCAGTGATTAAAAATCTTACTGCAAAGAAAAGCCCAGGCCCAGTTTTGGTTTTTTTATTCTTATTAACACAAGTATTTATTGATGCTATTTATACAGTAAATTAGGTTGAATGTGAGGTTTTGGATAGCTTGAATTCACCATTTTTCTTGTGCACAAAGATATTCTCTCATTGACAAATGGGCATTTCTCTTTGGCATCCATTAGTTTTTTGCCCAGATTTTGGCTTGTCAAATATTAAAAAATTAGTTTCTATTAAACAAAACTAAATGTGATTCCATGGAGAGTTATTGTATGATTACCAAACACATCTGATGTTAAATGTCACTGAAGTGCTGCTTGATCATCTCTATCAGTTTGTGCTAATTAAGACAAAGGGCTGGGATTTATAAACCCCAAGAGTCTTATCTGAACAGTCTGCATATAAAAGTTGTCTTTTTGCCTGGTGAAGGGGTATCCATGAAGCTGTGGACCTCTGATGAATTAACAATTAAATGTTTTCTGTATTATAACAAACAAAACAAACCAGTAATTAAAAATCTTACTGCAAAGAGAAGCCCAGGCCAAGTGGCTTCATTGGTGACTTCTATCAAACATTTAGAGAAGCACTAAAACTAATCCTTTACAAACTCTTTCAGAAAGTAGAGGAGGAAAGAACACTTCCCAACTCATTCTATGAGGACACTATTACCCTGATAACAAAGCCAGACAAAGATACATTAAGAAAATTGCAGACCAGTATGCTTTATGAACACAGACCCAGTAATCTTTTTTTTATTTTTTTAAGATTTTATTTATTTTATTTGACAGACAGAGATCACAAGTAGGCAGAGGCAGGCAGAGAGAGAGGAAGGGAAGTAGGCTCCCTGGATTGGAGGGTCTAATCCCAGAATCCTGGGATCACGACCTGAGCCTAAGGCAGAGGCTTTAACCCACTGAGCCACCCAGGCACCTCCAGTCACAGTAATTTTTAATAAAATATTAGCAAACCAAATTTAACAACATAGAAAAATGGATTATAGATCATGATCAATTGGGCGTTATCCCAGGCATGCAAGTTTGGATTAATATGTATAAAACAATATAACATACCATGTTCTCTTAAAAGGCTAGTTGGTGGGTGCGTGGGTGGCTCAGTCGTTAAGCGTCTGTCTTCGGCTCAGGTCGTGATCCCAGGGCCCTGGGATTGAGCCTGGCGTCCGGCTCCCTGCTCAGCGGGAAGCCTGCTTCTCCCTCTCCCACTCCTCCTGCTTGTGTTCTTTCTTTTTCTGTGTGTCTCTCTCTCAAATATATAAATAAAATCTTAAGAAAAAAAAAAAGACCAGTTGGTAAATATTTTAGACTTTTGGACCATTACAATTTCTGTTTAAACTACTCAGCTCTGCTGTTGTACTGCAAAACAGCGATAAACTATATGTAAATAAGCGGATATGCCTGTGTTTCGTTGCAACTTTACAAAAATAGCTAGTGCACAAGTCATAGTTTGCTATCTTGTAATAAACCATATTAAAAGGTTTTAAAAACCCCACATGATCAGCTCAGTAGATACAGAAAAAACATTTGATGTAAATGATAAAATGTTGCAACAAACCAGGAAGAGTGGGCAATATCTCACCTTGATAAAGGCATCTATGAAAATCCCAACACTAACGTAATATTTATTGGTGAAATATGAATCCTCTTCTCCTAAGACTGGGAACAAAGTGGGTAAGAATGTCCACTCTTAAGTCTACTCCTACCACTTCTTCACTGGAGTGTTGTACCTAGTACTATGGGGTGGGGGTGGGAAGGCATCTAAATTACCTAAGTAATTCACAAAAAAACCCAAAACAGATCTGAGTTTAAGCAAGGTCACAGGATACCAAATACACAAAAAAACTAAAAATTTTTTTTATATACTAGCCACAATCCAGAAATGAAAGAGAATTCCATTCATGATTGGCTTCATACTTAGGAATAAATTAAACAGAAGAATTAACAAGATTTACACTAAAAACTATAAAATATTGTTGAGAGAAGTTTAAAAAGACCTAAATAAATGGAGAGACATTCTATCTTCATGGATTATGAGTCCAAATGTTGTTAAAATGACAATTATCCCCAATTCGATGTATGGATTCAATGTAATCTCTCTAAAAAGAAAAATCCCAGCTGACTTCTTTGAAGAAATTTAATCCTATAATTTATGTGGAAATGCAAAGGACCTAAGGTAGAAGAGCCAATACAATTTTGAGAAAGCACAACATTGGAAGGACTTTTATTACATGGTTTCAAAAATCCACTATAATAATCAAGAGGGTGATAGATTGGTGTAAGGACAGGTACTAGAACTGGATTGTGAGTTCAGAAATATATAGTTGATTTTTGACACAGGTGCCAAGACAGTTCAGTGGGGGAAAGAGTAATTTTTTCCAACAGATAATGTGGGGAAATCGGGTATCTGCATGCAAAACAAAAAAAGACAAAAACCCACCCCAAAACTCAGTCTCTTAATTTATACTAGACACAAAAATTAATTGAAAGTGGATCATACACCTTAGTCTGAAACTACAAAATGTCTGGAAGAGTATCTTTGTGACCTTGGGTTAGGCAGTAACTTCCTAGACATGACACCAATGGCACAAGCTATAAAAGAAAAATTTGGTAAGTTGGCTTCATTAAAATGTAAAACTTTTGCATTCAAAAGACATTATTAAAAAAAAATGAAAAGACAAGCTATGGAAAGATTTGCTTCTCTGATGAAGGAGTATCCAAAACATATAAAGAACTCTTAAAACTCAGAAGACAAGTTAGTTTAAAAAAATTTTTTTTTAAATAAAATTTTTTTTTTGTCATGATTCCACTTACATGTGATAACTAGAATAGGCAAATTCATAGAGACAGTAAAATAGGGGAAATGGTTGAAGAATAGGTTGTTTAGGGGAAGTGTGGAATGGATAGTTACTGTTTAATGGGTAGAGAGCTTTTGTTTTTCTTTTTTTAAATTCTGAAAATAGGGGCACCTGGGTGGCTCAGTCGGTTAAATATCTGCCTTCCGGTCTGGTCATGATCCCAGGGTCCTGGAATCGAGCCCTGCATCGGGCTCCTGCTCAGCCTGTTTCTCCCTCAGCTGATTCTCCCTCTCCCTCTGACTGCTGCTCCCCCTCCTTGTTTTCTCTCTCCCTCTCTCTCTCTCAAATAAACAAATAAAATCTTAACAAAATAATAAAAATAAAAATATAAAATTCTGAAAATATTCTGGAAATGGATAGTGATGGTGGTTGCACAGTCTTCTGAATTTAATGCCACTGAATTGCACACTAAAAAAATGTTTAAAATGGTAGACTTTGTTGTTATGTATATTTTATCACAATTAAAATAAATGAAAAAACATGAGACAAAAGACTTGGAACAGACATTTTGTCACATAAAATGGTGTTCAACATCCCAAGTTATTAGGGAAATGCAAATTAAAATCAGTGAATTTCTACTGTACAGCCTCTGAAGTGGCTGTAGTCAAAAAGACTATAAAAATGTATTGGTAAGGATGTATGGCAACTGGAAACCTTGTGTGTTGCCATAAGAATGTAAAATGGTATAGTCACTTTAGAAGTCAGTTTGGAAATGGAATAAAAAGTTGCACATGGGGTGCCTGGGTGGCCCAGTTTCTTAAGTATCCGACTCTTGATTTTGGCTCAGGTCATGATCTCAGGCTGTGAGATTGAGCCCTACATTGTGCTCCACACTTGGTGTGGAGCCTGCTTAAGTTTCTGTCTCCCTCTCACTTTGCCCCTCCCCAAATCCTTTTCTTAAAAACAAAACAAAAAAGTTAAATAGAAACTTACCATATGATGCAACAGTTTCACTCCAAGGTATCTACCCAGGAGAAAAGTAAATGTATGTCTACACAAAGACTTGTATATGAGTGTTTATAGCAGCATTATTTATAATGGACCAAATCTGGAAGCAATCCAAATGTCCATCAGCTGGTAAAGGGATAAACAAAATGTGAAATATCCATATAATGGAATGCTATTCAACAACAGTAAAAAATAATGAACTACTAACACATGCTACAGCATGAATAAATTTCAAAAACATTATGCTAAGTGAAGGAAGTCAAACTCAAAAGACTACATATTATATGATTCCATTTATGTGAAATATCTAAGAAAGGCAAATTTAGGGGCACCTGGGTGGCTCAGTGGGTTAAGGCCTCTGCCTTCGCCTCAGGTCGTGATCCCAGGGTCCTGGGATCAAGCCCCGTATTGGGCTCTCTGCTTGGCGGGGAGCCTGTTTCCCCCTATCTCTGCCTGCCTCTCGGCCTACTTGTGATCTCTGCCTGTCAAATAAATAAATAAAATCTTAAAAAAAAAAAAAAAGGCAAATTTACAGAGACAGAATACAGATCAGTGGTTGGGTCTACAGGTAGGATTGAAGATTGTAAATGGGCTCAAGGGGAGTTTTGGAGTGATGAAAATGTTCTAAAATTGGATTGCAGTGATAGTTGCACAGCTCTAAATGAGCAACTAAAAGTCATTGAATCGTACATTTACAATGCCTAAATAAAGCTGTAAAACTAAAAAGTACCTAAGATTGGTTGGAGACTTTTGGATAAAACTGTTTTGTGGGGGTTTTTTGATAAAGTGGTTTCAGGTGACGTCCTATTGGTTTGTGATATCTCATATTACTCTTTCACTTGGAGGCCTAGACCCTCCCTGCTCCCAAAGCCTTACCTTGTGCTCTGCCTCACTAAAGTGTGTCAGAAAACTTTCTCTTTGTTGGGGAGAACTGACTCAACTGTTCGGAGTGTGGCTCTGATGGACTGTCTAGGCAGATGATACTTATTTAGAGAAAAATGCTTACTTTGAGCCCCAGGTTATAGATAGATCAGTCACAGCTTGCTACGTCCTGCGGGTTGAGAAGTAGGTGAGAGTTTGAGAAATGAGAGTATATTGTCTGCTGAAAGAGAAGAGCCAGTGGAGTGGTACCATCACATACAAGGATGCTTTAGGCTGTATTGCTACGACCTGTGCTTTTCACTGTTTTTTTTTGTTTGTTTGTTTTTTTGCTGAGGCCTCACAACAATCCTGTGAGATAGGAGAGGTATCCTTAGTCCCCATTTTACAGAGAAGGAAGGTTTACAGGGTGACTCCTTTGTCCAAGAGCATACAACTTTGGCAGAGTTAGACTTAAATTCAAGTTTTCTGACTCCATATTCTCAACCACTTCTTTTATACTCTGTGTTTTGCCTCAGCTGTTTACTGGGAAGAGGAGCAGAAGGGGCATGTAATTTTGACTGATTGCATATGTTTTCAGTAGATTTAGTCAGAAGAAAAGAAGGGGAAGTTAGACTAAAGCCTAAGTTCAGGAGTTCTATAGCAAGTATAGTAATCAAGGACAAACCTGATATCTGGTAGTTATTAAAATTATATACCTGGGTTAGAACTATAATTCATGGCACAGATGGTTTGAAGCTATCCAGTGCTTGGTTCAAGGAGCAGACCACTTTCTGAGTTATAAATATAACTGTGCCAGAAATAAAAGGAAATTCATTTGATAGACATTTACTGAGCGTCTACTCCATGCCAGGCTCCTTGCCAAGATACAGGATCACAAGGTCCAGTTGGATCCTGTTGAGAAACAGCCTGAGAGGACAGAAGTAGGCTGGAATTTCCTTCCATCATTTTCGTGCTCTGAGGCTGATGTGTCTGCCTTCCAAAGTGACCACATCCACATGGACCTGGAACCTGTCACTTTCTACTATCCTTGTAGCTTTGCTTTCTACAGGTTTCTTTATAAAAATAGTCCCATCTTTTCTTCCTTTCCCACTGTGGATTCTTCAGTCTGCTTTTCAGCCAAACATAAGTAGATCTTTCATCTAAATGAAATCTTTGCTTTTAAAAAAAAGACATTAAAAATAATTTTCTTAATTGTTGAAATAGTTGATGCTTATTGCTAAACACACAGAAGGCATAGATGAGTTATAAATAATAAACGTAAAAATCACCTTTAATTCTACAACTTAAGATTTCAGTGGTTAACGTTTTTGCTTCCAGTCTGTTTGAATTTCTTGTCAGTCAGTGTCTGCTTGTGCATATGTGAGTTGCACATTTTAGTATTTTGTTGTGTCAAGCTCTGTGTGAAATAATTTACATGTATTCTTTTTTTATCATGTTTTTAAATTATGTGTATAGTACATCATTCATATTTGATATAGTGTCCAGTGATTCATTGGTTATATATAACACCCAGTGCACATGACAACACATGCCCTCATTAATACCTATCACCCTGTTACCTCCTTCCCCCACCCCCTCCCCTCAGAAACCCTCAGTTTGTTTCCCCGGTTCCATAGTCTCTGAAGGTTCGTCTCCTCTGATTTCTCCCCCTTCAGATTTCCTTCCCTTCCCCTATGGCCCTGCTATTGCTTATGTTCCACATATGAGTAAAACTGTATGATAATTGCGTATTCTTAGTTCAGAAGTAGCTTTGTGAAGCAAATACTATTATCAGATCTCCTTTTCACAGAAGAAACAGATTTAAAGGTAAGTAACTTTTCTAGGTTTACATAGTTGATAAATCATATAACTCGAATTTTTACCCTTATGTAGCTCAAGCTCTTCACCACTACCTTTCTGTTTTCTTCTGTGACTATCACTCCGAAATTGTTCTCTGTAAGACTGTCAGTCTGGGGGCTCAGTCCCAGGACCCAGGGATCATGAGCCAAGCTGAAGGCAGATGCTCAACTAACGGAGCCACCCAGGCGCCCATGTAGCATTTAGTTTTATCCAAGAGAAACAGCATAGGATTTTGGTGCCTGAAATGGATTATTTTTTTTTATTGGCATATTTAAAGACTATTGATTCTTGTAAATACATAGGTGGCATGCTTGTTCAGGTGTACATTTTTTCAAAGAATGTGTTGGACATTCTTTTCTAATGTTTTCAGAAAATTTGGAAGTAATTGGTGGTGGAAAAATAATGCCTAGAATGCTTGGTATAATAGAATACAGATTCTAGGACCCTACATCTGGTCTAGGGTAGATCTCAGGAATCTGCATTTTTCTAAGTAACTAGTCTAGATGATTCTGATAGATAACCAGATTGGGAAACACTAGCCCGAACCCTCTATTTTTTTTGAATTCTTGCCATTTTCTTCATTTTTCTCTTGACTTTGATTTCTCTTTTTCTTTCTTGTGTCACTATACCTGCGTTTCTACTTTCTTCCTGTCCCTGGTTTTGGAAGCTAACTTTATTTTATTTTATTTTTTAAGATTTTATTTATTTATTTGTCAGAGAGAAAGCACAAGCAGGCAGAGTGGCAAGCAGAGGCAGAGAGAGAGAAGCAGGCTCCCTGCTGGACAAGGAGCCCGATGCAGGACTCGATCCCAGGACCCTGGGATCATGAACTGAGCCGAAGGCAGAGGCTTAACCCACTGTGCCACCCAGGTGCCCCCGAAGGCAGTGTCTTAATGGACTGAGCCACCCAGGCATCCTGGCAGCTAACTTTAGATAAGACTCTTTTCCTACTACTTTATTTAATTTGACTTTTGCTATGAGAGTGTGTTTTTCTCTATCTCAGATTTAAGTGGATGATTAAATTATTGGTGACCAAGGTTTGTTTTCTTGTCATTATCATGAAAGTTTTAGTGGCTCATCTCATCTCATGTTATAGAAGTCAGAGAATTGTTACTACATTTTACATTTTGTTTAGATGAAGGATGTTCATTTCCCATTTCACTTAGGTTCTTTTCTTGTTTGAGAGACATGGTTTGCAAAGGTTAGAATGAATGAGCCTCAAAGTTTTGGTCATAATAATAACCAGGGCCTTCATACTAAGGCATACTATATAGTCATTTGAAAGAACCAGTATAATACAGCAAGATTGTTGCAGAAGGCTGTCTATAATAGCTGTCTAGTATAGTCCAGTGAAAAAGCAGATTATACAGCTGTAAATATAAAATGAGCTCATTTTTGCTTAAGCCACCTCTCAAAAGCCCCACAAAATTATAGATATGTATCCATTTGTATGTGCATGGATAAAGGTCTCTAAGGACATAAAATAAGTGTATAGTTTATGCTATTTATTATTTTAATAATATCAGATAATATAGATAAGTTTATTGATTATAACAAGTTATTAAACTTGCCATTTATTATATATATTTTTAAAGATTTTATTTATTTATTTGAAAGAGACAAAGCGAGAGAGAGGCAGCACAAGCAGGGGGAATGAGAGAGGGAGAAGCAGGCTTCCTGCTGAGCAGAGACCAGTGTGGGACTCTATCCCAGGACCCTGGGATTATGACCTGAGCTGAAGGCAGACGCTTAACGACTGAGCCACCCAGGTACCCCACTATTTATTATATTTATAGGTGATTTCCATTGAGGAAATGGAAGATGATGAAGAAAGGGATACTTAGTTTTTACTTTATTTCAATATTTAAATTTTAAATAATGAGTGTGTTGTTTTTTTTTTAATTTTAAAAATTACAAAAGCATTGGTTTTTTTAAATACTGTGTGATGTCAAGGTATACAGTTTTTCCTATAAAATATCATTTCTTGTTATGTTATGGACATTGGGAAGGGTATGTGCTATGGTGAGTGCTGTGAAGTATGTAAACCTAGTGTGATTCACAGACCTGTACCCCAGGGGCTAATAATACATTATATGTTAATAAAAAATTAAAAAATTGAAAAATATCATTTCTTTAACTCTAGAACATTTTTACAGTTCTTTTTCTTTCTTTTTTTTTTAAGATTTTATTTATTTGACAGAGAGAGAGAGATCACAAGTTGGCAGAGGCAGGCAGAGAGAGGGGGGGATGCAGGCACCCCACAGAACAGAGAACCCGATGGGGGGCTCGATCGCAGGATCTTGAGATCATGACCTGAGCCTAAGGCAGAGGCTTCACCCACAGAGCCACCCAGGCACCCCTAGAACATTTTTTAAAAATAAGAAAAAGTAAAGCACTAGGCATTTAGAGTACTTATTTCATATTAGAAGTAAAGAGAGCAAGAGAGGCTTTAGCTGGTGTATTGGAGACAGCGGCAGCTTCCACCCAGCACGGTAGCTGATGCGCTCGGGTGACTCTGCTGTTTTGCTTCCCTTAGGTGGTTTGGTCCGCAGTTGGCATTCATTGATCAGTGAGTTGATTCAGACTCAAACCCACCGACAGCAATGAATGTTGAGTGCAGCCATCAGTGTTTCCATGCGGTGGCGTTGCCTCAGCCCTCCTGAATTCCTGGCTCTTCTTTTCCATACTGCTTCTTTGAGGCCCAAGTCCGGTATCTCTCTTAGTAACCGATGATCGAGGGCCCACCTAATTATAGGTAACACTAGATACTAGAGCTGGGAGATTTCTTCAAGATGAGAGACTGTGGTTCAGGGAATGGAAGGAGCTTGTGGAGAAGCGAACAGGTGGCTCTGTGACCACACAGATAGGTGCCCGCGTACCTGATAGATACAAACAGGAGTCGAGGGTCCTGGCTCTTCCTCTCTGTTTTGGACTGAGAAATATGAGTACTTTTCAAGGAAAATTAGCACAGGTTATGTTTTGGGTTAAATAATAATAGCAGTTTACATATGTTGTTTGCTGTGTGCTTGGAATGGTACAAAGCACTTTACATATTACCTCATTGAATCTCAAAACTCCATGAGGTAAGTGTTCTTATTATCTCCCATTTTATACATGAGAAAACAGAAACTCAGATACTTGCCTGTGGTCACATAGCTAGTTAGGGAGTTGAACCAAGATTTTTTCCAGATCTCTGACTCCGGACCTGACATTTTACTTACATTTAACAAACGTTTAAGTAAGCATATGTGTGGCCAGAAGTAGTGAGGCAATAGTTGATTTCAAACATCTCATATTCTAACAGGGCTGTGAAAACTTAACCATATTAACTCTGGTTGGAGGTAGAATGTGGTAAGAGTTGTACAGGCATTTGACAGTTGTATGCTATGTTTGCTTATTAAATCCTTCTCTTGCTCTTAATTAAAGTTTTGAGGGGATGTGGGAGAAATGGGTGTAAAATAATCGGATTTCACTCAAAACTGAAATAAATGTTTTTAATGTCTCCTTGCTCTATCCTGTTTTTCACTAGAGTGACATATTTCTAGGATACATTTTTAAGCACATTCGGTATTATAGTGGAGTTCTCCTTATCTTGTTGAAGTGAAATACTTGTTTGTCAAAAACAACACAAAGCAAGGAACAATGGGCAATAGAAATGGGGGAGCTCTTACAAAGTTCACTGGACCACCTTTAGGGACAGGCAGCAGGACTGGTTCTGGTGATCTTATGTGACATGTGAAGGTACAGCCTGCTCCTTTGCTTCAGGAAATGTAGTGTAGTCTGTAAGGACCCCAAGGTACAGTCAACGGTCGGTGGTTTTTTCAAATCCCAAACTCACCGACAGCGTTGAATGTTCCTTGGAGTCCTCTGAAGGCTGGTTTCTGGCCCTGGCAGCCCTTCTTCAGCCTGTACCCATGTTCCGGGAGCCAATGAGCAGTGAAACCACTGCTGCTAGAGGCTCTCATGTTGTTTTCCAGGTTTCAGGTTGAGAATATTTAGACTATGAAATCAGTTTGTGTACAGCAGAGAGCTCATGAACTTAATGGACTTGTGAGACTGCAGTTACTTATACAAGCAGACTCCAATGGATGGTTGAGAAAATGGCTTTGAATAGTATTATTTTTTTAATTCTGAAAATGTCAAGTGCCTCATTTTAGATAGATTGATTATTAAAGGGTATGGGTAAGAAAGAAGTTAATATATATTATGGACTCTGTTATGTGCTGGAATTTGTATATTTTTATTTCATTAAACTCAAAACAACCCACTTGTACCTCATGAAAAAACTGAGAGATTAAGTGATTTGCATAGTTACATAGCCAGGAGTCACTGTTGTAAGCCAGAACTTGAATACTGGACTTTTATCAGCGCTCAGCTCCCTGAGCATATCCCCTCTTTTCTTGTCCACCACAAAACTTACTGTTCTGTATCGGAAGTAGCATCTGCAGTGAGAACTACATCAAACTAGTAAACGTTTTCTCCTTGTTTGCCTGTATAAATAGCAGGTGGGTCTGTAGGCAAAATTTTTCATAGAAGAAGAGGAAAAAAATTTACCTTCACAATTGATCTCTCTAGCTGAGATCCTAGATCACTGAGTTGCTACAGAGGTTCAATGGTAGTCTGCCTGTAATTTTCCATTTGGAAAAAACAAAAACAAAAAAACCCCTGTCACCTAAGAGAAAGCATGCATTTCTCCTTTGTAAGATCACAACAACTAAAATGTCAGGTGTCTTTTTGCTTTGGCATAAAGAGTATTGGTACATTATAGACATACTGGTTATTTTTCATTGACTCCTGAATATCCTTGATTTAAAAGCTGGAAAATGAAATAATTGTATGGGTAGGGATAGAGGGTTTCAGAATGTAGGGTTTTATTACTGGAGAGATGGAGGAGTGCTCGGAAGAAAGGCTTAGAGAACTGCTGGCTGAATTAAGGTTAATCTTTAATCAGGGATTGAGTTTAAATAGTAAAGGTTGACTCTTCTCAAATTCATTTTTAAAGGAGCCAAATGGTACACATTAAAAAAAAGAAATCACTGAGAATTTGGTTTGAATGTAAACTGTTGAACATCTACATCAATTTAATTATTTCACCCTCTGTCAAAACACTCCATTTAGCCAGCTTTGTTGAGTTCTCAGTGTTATGACAGTGAATTGTATACAAACAACAACAACAAAAAAAAAATCAAGCAACTGTTACTCTGTAGTAGTTTAAAAACTCTTTAATGTGTTTAAACAGTCTTCCCTTGGTCTCATAGTAGAAAGAGATGTGAATGCCTTAAACCGTTTGGTCAGATGTTCAGATTTTAAAAGAATACTGACTTTTGCTGCTCCAAGCCATGAGATATTTTACAAAATACCATTGCTTAAATTCATGGCATTCTAATAAGAATGCTTTTTATAGATTTGAAAAACTAGAGCAGAGTGAAAGGTAGGTTTCCAAAATGGCATAGGGGTATTTCCCATTGTGTTGGAAATAATTAATTTTCATGGCAGGGAAGGCCACCATCATCCTCACACCTTTAAGTTTTTATCATCAGGCAAGTTAGAAGGACACACTGGTATTTTTAATGAGTTTGCTAAGGGGTTTATATATTTAACGCCAGGATAAAGTCTAAGGTTAAAAACATTAAGGGTTAAATTAGACAAGAGTTGTAGAAACTACAAATTTAATAAGTTGGTTTATTTCATTCTTGATTTAGATTGGTTTTGAGTTTGTCAAAATTTACCATGCCATCCTTTACTGTTTCACTTACCTCTTTTCCTTTTCCAAAGGTACTAAAAAATATTGAAACCCACATTGCTCCAACTTGGACATGTAATTGTTTTCATAGTCTTCTTGAGGCCTCTTGATATTCTTGAAAGAAACAAGAATCATAAACTTAATAAAGCAATATATTTGAGAGATGAATAGCATAGAAGAGAAGAGGAGTCAGTATCTCAGGTGGCTTCTGTCCAGACACTTCCCAAGCATTATGCAGAGAGCATATATTTGGGGTATTTGGGGGTAATGCTACTAACCTTAAGGACAGATTCTTATGTTATAAAGATGACAACAGAATGTCATCATGAACCCATATTTCTTTTAGCCGGACTGCTAGTGTTCTGCTTTATCCTTTTGCTAATTCGTCAGTGAAATCCTAGGATCCTTTCTCTTACATATAATCCTTGCCATTATGGAGCACAGTGTCTGTCCAGGGATCTAGACATAGACACAGCAGATGACAAAGAGACTGACTGCTATGCTGGTGGAAAGGTACAAATCATGTTACGGGAGAATAGAGAAAAGGGTTAATTCTGCCCAAAAGTCCCAGGAAAGATATATCTGAGGGTTACATCTGACTTGGGACTCAAACGTACAGTTGAATTTTTCTCGACAGAGAAGGAAAGATATTCCAATAGAGGGAAAACTCTAGAAAGTCCTAGAGAAGGGAAAGTTCAGGTAATGATGAGTGATGAGATTAACCTCTCAGCATCCGTTAACTCATCTTTAAGATGTGGGACAAATAGCACTTGCCCTTTGCACAAAGCTGTGAAAATCAAATGAGGTTGTGCATGTGAAAATAGCATGTTAATATAATTTCTAGATTTCTGTTTTCTCATTGCTCTTGGTTCATATGTGCTAAAATAGAGTATATGAAATACCTTATCATGATAGACTTCTCCAAATTGGATTCTTTTTTTTTTTTTTTTAAGATTTTATTTATTTATTTGACAGAGATCACAAGTAGTCAGAGAAGCAGGCAGAGAGAGAGGAGGAAGCAGGCTCCCTCCGAGCAGAGAGCCTGATTAGGGGCTCGATCCCAGGACTCTGGGACCATGACCCGAGCTGAAGGCAGAGGCTTTAATCCACTGAGCCACCCAGGCGCCCCATCCAAATTGGATTCTTATTTGTTCTCTTTTTTTCCCTTTGAGTGCCATAGTTTAAATTTTTCATATATTAAGTGTTCGGAGAAGTAACATTGTAACAATAAAGAATACAGATTTGGAGCTAGAATTTTGACTTTGCAACTTACTAGCTATGTGACCTTGGGCAGATTACTTAACTTCTCTGTTTTTCTGTTTCCTTACCTATAAAATGGAGATAATGATAGTGTCTACCTCATAGAACTATTGTGAGGGACATGTGGGTGGCTCAGTTGGTTAAGTATCTGCCTTTGGCTCCGGTCATGATCCCAGGGTCCTGGGATCAAGTTCCACATTGGGCTTCTTGCTCAGCAGGAAGCCTGCATCTCCCTCTGCCTGCTGCTCCTCCTGCTTGTGCTCTCTCTTCCTCTCTGACAAATAAATAATCTTTAAAAAAGAAACTATTGTGAGAACTAAATGTCAGGTGTGTAAAACAGCACAACACATGTTAAAATTTATATGAATTTCTATGTTTCAAAATGATTTAAATATAATGTACTTACGTATTATGAAATTAAATTGCATATTTTACCCATATTATGGTTTTGGTCCATTTACACTAATGTAAAACCCTTATTTTATAGTTAAAGTAACTTCCAAATAACTATTACATTGCACATGTATATATGTATATGCGTGTTTCAGAGACGTTTTTGAAATTAATTCTCTGTCACTTTCTTTGTGACCTTAGGAAAGGTTTTTATCTCTTGAGCTTCAAAATCCTCAATCTAACAGATTGATTTTAACAAAATCAAATTTATTTTAACAAAATAAGAATAATAGTATAGTAGTACCTCCCTCATACTGCTTGTGAGGATTAAAAATTAGATAATATAATTAGAAACTTTCTAGAAGCTATAGATTCTCTCCCTAATCTGCACATAAACACAAAATTTTGAAAGCAGTTTCAGTTACGGAATTCAAGAATGCATCCATAGCCTCCCTCTGAACTTCAGGTTCAGACATTCCGAACAGAACTGTAGACCAAGATTTCACCATCTCATCTTGTCACTGGTGTAATGTTGCTGCTGTTGCAATCTGTCACCATTATCTAGTCACATTATTCCCTATGCTGTAATCTGTGCAATACAACCAGACAGTGGGGCACCTGGGTGGCTCAGTGGGTTAAAGCCTCTGCCTTCGGCTCAGGTCATGATCCCAGGGTCCTGGGATCGAGCCCTGCATTGGGCTCTTTGCTCAGCAGGGAGCCTGCCTCCCCTTCTCTCTGTGCCTGCCTCTCTGCCTACTTGTGATTTCTGTCTGTCAAATAAATCAATAAATCTTTAAAAAAAAATACAACCAGACAGTGATAACTGGACAGTGATGATCCCTGGAAAAGTAGTTACTAGGCTTCATCAACAACCTTTAATTAGTAAATCTGCACTTATACAGAAGAAGTTGCCAGATGAGAAGTTACACAAATATTTGAATGAATTTAACTTACTTTGCAACAGTTTCTCTCCCACTTCCACAGCAACCATTTGGTTTGGAGCTAATCCCAGCACCATGAGTACTAATTCTGGCCTTAAGTAAGGGTCAGAGAATGTGTTGTTTCACGACAGTGCTTACAAAGCCTGCTAGATCCAGAGTGTTTACTTGAGTATTAGGGAAGGGGGGAAAAAGAGTATGCTGAAGATTGTAGTTGTATATGGAATTATTGGACATTCTTGTATTTAGCCTGCTGAGGTTTAACCAGACAATTGAGAAGTAGAAAGAGAAATTTAAACTTTGTAGCTTGGAACATTTTACTTTTTGACATGGCAACTTTTTATCAGGTTATTTCAGATATTTTATGAGTTGGGAAGACCAGGGGGTGGGCAGGCCAACTCACTGAAATAGCAAATTGACCTAGTGCCAAAAGACGGTATTTCTTTTCAAATGGAACATTTCTTTTCAAAACCTATCAAAATATTCTAAGGGCCACCAGAATTTTCCATCTCCTAGTTACAGTGACTTAATGTGTTTAAGATATTACTACTTCAGATTATTTTACAAACCCATAGGAAGCAATACTTCACTTTTCCATGGTAAATTAATTCACAGGGTATCTATAATCAGTGAACAATTCTTCTAAGCAACTCTATACTAAGGACTGTTGTTCAGCTGACCTGAATGAATAAGTACATTAAGTGAGTTGGGAATATAAAGTCATAAAAGCAATAGGGATCAAAATCATGCGGTAGTTAATATTCATGGGCATTAAGGAATGAGGTAGAAAGAACCTTGGATTTTATTGCAGTGTGTGAAAAGTGTTGGCAGAGATTTTAAAAGTCCTTGAAAGCCAACCGGCATGTGTTTTGCAATAAACAGTTAATGAAATAAGCAAAAACAGTGATCAAAGGACTCAAATCTTTCCTTTTGTACAATGATGAAACCCTGACGATCTAACAATAACATAAGAATATGTATTTCTTCCTCTGACCTATTTTAGTTTACTGGGTTAAATGTAATCATATGATACTTTATATGCTTTAAAAACTTGATGTCTGTTGTTATAAAGTTTATTTTTGTCTCATGTAGATTATAACGTTGTGTTAAGACATTGTAAGTTATAGGTAACTAGACATTCATCCTATAAGTAACTTATTATTTAAAACATTTAGGGGAAATGCTTTTTATTATTTTTGCATTATGTATGTGGGCTCCACTCAAGTCTTGAACTCAGGATCCTAAGATCAAGATCTGAGCTGATATCAAGAGTCAGATACTTAACCAACTGAGCCACTCATGTGCCCCTAGGTAATTTTTTTTTTTTTTTAAAGATTCTATTTATTTGTTTGACAGGGAGAGAGAGAGCACCCACACACAAACAGGGGGAGCAGCAGCAGAGGGAGAAGCACGTTCCTGCTAAGCAAGGAGCCTGATGCGGGGCTTGATCCCAGGACCCTGGGATCATGACCTGAGCTGAAGGCAGAGGCTTAACTGCCTGGGCCACCCAGGCACCCTGATGAAATGGATTTACAAGGGAAATGAAGACCCGAAGTCAAATAGTGGGTCAGAATTAAAACTCTTGACTGTGCGTGTGTGCGTGCATGTCTGTTTACTTATATGACACTGCCTCTCCATTGTGAAAAAGCATGCTTTTTGCAGAAGTTTCCTGATGTCCTGTTGGCCATCTGAAAAGTACTTCAAGTCTATCTGTCTGGCGGGTCAAACATCTTAGCCTTAGGGATACACCCAGAACTAGTGCAAATGGACCATTGACTTGAATTTAGCATCCTGACCTGAAGTATTTGACTAAGTAAGAGATGCTGAGTGGTGTTGGCATAAAAACTGTCCATGGTATGAAATGAGGAATAGCTGTAAGTGATCAAAAGGCTATGAAGGCCCTTTAGGCTCTGACATTTATCAGCTGTTGCTACACTTTAACACTTTACTCTAATCAAAGGTGACTACCACTGGATGGAAGAGGCTTGCAGAACCTCTGGCTGCTCTCAGGGGAGGAATTTATTTTAATTGCCAGTGAGAAGGTAGGAATGATTTCAGTAAAGATCAAGAACCTCCAAATCCACTTCAGCTTGGGCTCCTGGCCAAGTGTCCATCCTCTGGAGGGAGTTGGTGTCAGCTGCTGTCTTGTGACTTGAGGTATTTCAAAAAAGCCAAAGGCATTACAGAAGCCTTTCCTGAGTTGGCAGGCAGGAATGGCACCAGGAATCAAGGCCTGACACATGTCATCAGCCTGGAAAAAGTGGAGTTTGGACACTAATGATGGCTCTTGTCAAGGCTCAGTGTGATAAAGCCAGGAGGACTCAGCTTGGGGGTTTGTTTGCATAGAAGAGGAGTTACAGCTTAGAGAACACCTGCCAAGAGTTTTCACTGCCCCAGCTGTATGTCAGTGACAAATACTTCACCCTTAACTCCTGTCACTTCTTTTTAATGGGTAATGGTAGAGATGCTGGATGGGTAAGGAAGAGAGACAGCCTGGTTATATCTATCACATTTCCCTGTTTG